ATACTTTTTTTTTTAAGGCAGAGAGACATATACATTTACATAAGACATGGATTAGTGAGTACCTCAGCAGGAATAGCTAAGTGAGAGAGACGATCTTCAACAGAGGTAAGTCTAGTATCTTCTCCAACTACTGCTTTCACCATTGTTAAGGAATTGAAGAAATTATCTGCAAAAAAACGTAAAATGATGGTACAGTCGAAGAATATTCAGTAGTGCATGATAAAACCCTTTTGAAATCCCAGAATCAACGAAACCCAAAGGCGGAAACTTTTCATCGAAATCACGTCAATCGATGCGAAATCCACAAACCCAGAAAACGAAAGTTTGTAGAACCCAGAAACAGAATTGAACCTTTAACGCGGATCGATCAGAGAGAGAAAAAAAAAAAAAAAGATCTTACCTTGTCCCTCTTTGGATTTCAGCTCCGTTCTGTTGAATTGAAACGTTGACTTGTATGTGACGCGGATAGCTTACCCGGAAAAGAAAATGATCGAGGCCTGGGCTATCCTATCTGGGTAGACCAAGTGAGATCAGAATTTTGGTCTAGGCAATCAAATAAATGAGATGGATGAAGAATTACTCGAGTTTCAAGTTAAACTGGGCGAATGAGTGAGGTGAATTTTCAAATTAAGCAGAATTTTTTGGTCTGTTTTCGCATTTGGATGGGACGGTTACTAGGGTAAAGTCTGTCCGATCCGAGCTGGAACTGGAATACTGAAATTCTAGGGTAAGGTATTTGTGGAAATATAACTTCAAATTAGAGAAAATCGCATAAAAAAAACTTTTAAAGTGACACACGCACTCATATTTTAAATCTCGAAAGTATTTGACAACCACTTTAAAACTCTTGAGAATTGCCCAAAAAACAATACCAAGATCATGCTTTCTTCTTGGTTCATGGAAGGTCTAGGTGCGGAGCGGATCACCGACAAAAAATAAAGTATATGTGGTTCGATATGTCTTTGCCGGACATCTAATTTTCCGATTTGTTTCGTTTCGGAAAATTTTGGAAATTCAGAATTACAGATATCTGAATTTTTTTCGGATATTTGCAGATATTTAGATATTAACGGATATTTATTTTAAACCAAAAATAACAATTGAAACCCTATATTTTTTCAAAAAGAATATTTTTAATATAATATTTTAACTAACTAATGAATAAATATATGCAATTATCTAATTTTATTCGATAT